TATATATATATATATATATATATATATATATATATATATATATGGGAGGCTTTAGCTGCTGCTTTCTTTGATGGAATTTATTTCCAGCTGAGTCAACACAAGCAAAGAGCTTCTTGAATAGCCAAAACAATTTTAACTTATGAAGAAGACCTTTAACTTGCAAAGTAATCAAGAAGCTGGCTTAATAATTATCCTTCAAACAAATACGTTTTTTTTGTTTTTTAGGGGGGAGACAAGACGCTTTTTTTGTTTTGTTTCACACACCTGTTGAATTTTGAAAGCATCTTTTCAAAGAAGACATTTTGAAACCACATTATCCTTCCACCTCTGTTGTATCAGTTACACATGAACACAATATGCCGCTTGTCTGATTAAATCTATCCTCTAGCCAGAGTTAAGATGCCACTGAAACCGGGTTTCTTTAAGCAATAAGAGAATCCACTGTAGGTATAGAAACGCTGAAAGCTTAGGTATCCAAAAGCAGAACAGAGGCTCTTTCTTCTCCATCTGCCGGACAAAGTACATTCATGAACATCATTCTGGCTAATACTGCTGTTATAATCATTTACTTAGTGTGATTCCTTTGTAAATCATTACACTTGAATAGCTCTAATGAAACAGATTAACATTAATACTCACATTAATACTCATTAAAAAATACAATCAGGAAAAACCCAGATATAACAACAGTTTACCAGTCCATCGTAATTATGAATTTAGAAATAAGTGTCTGAATAAAACATTTATAGCTCTTAACAAAAAGAATCAAGAATTCTTTGTAAAAGGAATAGTTTATGTTCATATGATCACTGAATCCACAATGAGATTCACTGATTTGTACAAAAACTTGTCATTTAATTCAATCTGTGCATAAAAATAAAAGCTAAAAAAAACTAAAGAGAATGCCAAGTGATTTTAAAAACAAGGAACTTTAAAAGTACAATATTGTTTTTGAGTTAAGGCCATTAAAAAAAGAATCTATCATGCAATATTTTATGCAAAGGTATGTCCTATGCTGCTGCAATTTTTATGCTTTTATACTTTTTTTCTGTAATTTGTGTGGTTTAAATTATGTTATTGCATTCTAAGAACAGGAATATATTGTTTTAACTGTTTAAGTTTTGCTTCTAAATCTGCTAAGTTAACATTTATACTAGACAATTGTATGCATATTAATCACAAAAATATGCAACTATAGAGTTCTCACCATAGCTGTTCAGGGTGCAACTTCATTTAGTTAACAAAAAAGTAACCTCAGGATCCTTTACAGGATAAGGGTCCAATTCCAGGGTGCATTCTGACTGACTGTTCAGATCTGGCTTTGAAAAAAAGGATCCAGGAGTTGCTTTTCAAGCCAATATTCCCTTTTAAGAGGAGCTTTTTCCTGCACCACAAAACTGCTGTAAAAGATGACTCACTGGATCTTCTAAACACCGTTCATGTATGCTTTGGTCTAAACCCTACTACTAGCTACCACTCCTTATGATCCTCAGTATTGTTTTATTTAGATTGTGGGTCAATGAGCCCAGAAGTTCCTGTTAAACTATATTTAAACCCTGCAGTCCTTTTTTTCTGTGACATTAAAGTGCAAACATTTAGGTCACCACATCTCAAAATGGTCTAACCATCTATCTATTTTTCTATTTATATAAACAGTGCTGGCACATTTAAACCAGCCATGATAGGCACTTTGACATTTTACTTTTTGGGTTTTGCTCTGCTTTAAAAAAATATTTAGATTTGCATACATGACAATTTTTTTAAGAACTCCACCTCTGTGTTGCATTCTCATTTTTATATTTTTATATATTGATATTGGTATATTTTATATTTTGGTGGCCATGACATTTAGGAATAAAAAAAAAAAAATGTAAAAACTTCTATAAAAGCTTGTGTCTCATTCAGTTTCCATACATTCTTGTTTTGTTAATCATTATGTTACTTAGAAACATTTTAGAAGTTACATAGTTTGTATTTCACTATTTTCTGTCAGTATTTACAAGCTATTACATTTTGTTCTTAGAAGCACTTAGGCATCATATATATATATATATATATATA